TATATCCATACAAAGCTTCCTTATATTGGTATAGTGGGCTTATTCATCAAAAATCACTCTTTATACCAATACAATGGGTCTTGTTCCTCCTAGCCTCGTCTTGAACCATTATTCCAAAACAGTTCATTTATTTAGGTATGGCCACGCCTGTTCAAGAATAGCTATCTTTATTTAGGTATGAGCTTGCTCATTCAAGTATAAATCTCCTTTATTGGGATATAAATATTTTTATTCCCAAATAAAACCTCTCCAATCATTGTCTTTTATGAAAAGCTATTTTGATACAATTATTTTACACTCAAACAAAATCTTAGCACATATTTTCATATTGTTCTTGACTGTGTCAGTATAGTGCTACTTATTTCAATGTAAATATCAATTTGTGTGCTTTGTTTTGTTCTCTTTGTTGTGCAACTCAAATCTCATTCCATACACATTATTTTCACATTTCAAGTGTTGAGTTCGCATTCTTACCTATCTTGAAACCTTTTAAACATAGCATCAGGTTGGATTAAATACTTATAAATTCTTTCATTGTCCTTTATACTCGAATAGCATTTGGATTTACCAATATTCATCTCAATGAAAGTATTGTTAGAGCATTAAATACATGTAGCCATTACGTTTCTTAAGTCATCGAAAACCTGCAACTCCACAAAAAAGCAATGTTTAATCACCTCATTCTCAAAGAAACACATAAGAAAAGAAGAAAGACATTCCAATGGCTAATTACTTGAGTCTAACGAACCATTCCCAAAGAAAATTATATAAAGGCCCATCTGTGAAGATGGTGAACAATAGCAAACAATTGAGTTGATATGCAAGCTTACTCTTTTATTGTTTCACCAATCTTCTATTATATTCATTATAAGTCATTAATTATAAAATAACTTTTTTAGAGAGTATTTGAAGAAGTAGTTCATCTTTGAACTTATTTTGTTTATCCTTATTTTATATTCTTGAAACAGAGAATCTTAAATTCGAAGAGTTTAAAGAGGTTAAATCATTACCTTTGTAAGGGAGAATGATTTAGACTTAAGTGTAAGTCTATGATTGTATTAAGGCAACCAAGAGCCTAGTTACTTCAACAATGATTACACCTTTAAAAAAAATGCAATGATTACACCTCAAAATATTAAAAATATTTTATATTTTTTAACAAAGGGAGTAGTGTTAAACTTGTAATGCATTATTAGTTTTACTACTAGAGACGTGAAATTACAATTATAAAAAGTTAAAATAATAGTTATAAATTATTAATAAGATAGTTATAAATTATTTAATTGATGTAATGTATCTTCAATAAGAGAATTATTATCTCTGCACTCTTATGTCAAATTATATTTATGTTCTAATAGACTTGACTATAATTTTTAAATTTTATGAAATTTATTTATAAATAAATTTGCACCACAAAACCCATACATAATATTATCATATTAAAATTTAATATATAAGTATAGAAATTTGACTCGTAAATGAAAAAAAGAAATGATTACTTTTTTTTTATTGGAAAGCTGACTGCAATTCACCCAAAATTTTAATTCACCTAAATTATTGAAAAAGAGAAAAAAAGAAGTAGAACTAAGGTCTAACGGTGGGATTCGGATCAATTTTTATTTTTTTTAAATATAAGTACAAAACTTAAACTTTTATGAAGTCAAGTTTTGTACTGTTACGCAGAAAAAAAATTGCAATTCAGTGTCATTGAAATCAAGTTTTAAAATTTATAGTATTTTAAAAAAATATTTTTAAAAGTATAGTATATTGGTATATTATATATATATATATATATTTTTTTTTTTGATAATATCACGGTCAAATTACCTAAATATAAACCGTACAGATTGCCTTTTCATGCACCTCTCTCTTTTTAGCCTTTGGATAAAGTGAACGGAAATGGTCATCTACTTTTCAACCATTGCACCATGACATTAAAATTCGGACCGAATTGATCGAATCAATTTATAAATTAGTGACTTAATCCCTTATCCAATCTGAGTTTATTTTTAAACTGATGAGAAAATAAATTAGTATAACCTGATATAAGTCGAACATCTCGGTGGGTTGAATGTGTTATTATTTTTTCAGACAAAACCCCTAAAATGATATTGTTTTGGGAAATTTTTTTTTTAATTTTAATTTTTCAGAGTGCTGAGTTTAGAAATAGAATAACAAAAAAAAACTGAAGTTAAAAAAAATAGAGGCAGAGTACGCTAAGTCCAATTTAGATTTCCAGACGGCATTCAATTCGGTCTTTTGTTTGTATCTCTCCTCTCTTGCCCTAACTTAATCGACGTTTCTTTTCTAGCTCAGTCTTCGTCTCTTCTCCAGGCTTCAGCTCTATCTCTGTCTCTTCTTCGGCTTAGTCTCTAACTCTTCATCTCTTCTCCAACTCAATCTCCATCTCTTCGTCAGCTCTGTCTACATCTTTTCTCTAAACTTTTTAAATTAAAGGATTGTAATTGTAAGGATAAATATTTAAAGTATTGTATTTTATTATTATTAGATTTTTAAGTAATTGAATTTGATTAAATATTTTTATAATTAATATTTTTTATTTAAATTATATTATTTTAAGTATCACTGGCTTGTTATCGGTTCAACTCTCAGTTTAATCTTAATTAAACTATTAATTTATGATCTAATATTATGATATGCCTTGCATTGCACAAAGCCACAAAGTGATACTGCACATGATCCGAATCTCCTGCGGTGAGCTGTACTGCCCTCACTTCTGAGTTCTGACGCAAAACCAACGAGCACGGCAACTGATTCATTCAGCTTTTGCTTTCCTTGCAGTGTGCCTTGGATTTGGATTATTGCATGCGCTCCTCCAATATATCTGTCTCGTTTATTTTAATCATATTGAGCCAGTTTGTTTAATTTATTTTTATAAAAAAGAGTACTCATTAAAAAAAAAAAATCTATTTTTTAGGTTTTTATAATGCTTGATTAGACCTTTAAAAATAATCATATTTTAAAAATTTATTTTCAGTAACTTTTAAGAATAATTTAATGCACTAAAAAAACAACTGTCTTAAATAAATAGACACACAAAAACAAGGATGATATTAAAAAATTTAAAAATAACTAAATTGATAATTATTTTTATTATTATAACTAAACATAAAGTAATATTTATTTTTCATAAAATTTCTATAAAAATAAATATCTTTTTTATAAAATTTTTAAACTATTTAAAAATAATTAATTGTTTAATTTTAAACAAACCGGCTCATTACTTCATTATGTAAGCTATTAAATAAATAATATATTTATTTTAATTCTATAATTAACAATATTATATTATTAAATTAAATAAATAATTAAGTAAACTGATGTCATTAAACATGGAGGTAGGTACTGATCGAGGGCCATTGGCCGAAAAATTGAAAAAGGCATTGATAGAGGGCATAGAATGCATTCAAATCCGAGTCTCGTCTTAGAAAAGTTTAAGAATTTAATGCTTTGATTTATTACTTAATTCTAATGATTTATCAAGCAGTTTTTCGGAAAATTTTCAAAATAATCACCACTTTAATTTTTTTTGGCCAATAATTATCACCTTAAATTCGTGTATTCAAGAAAATTGTTATCGCAACTTTTTATCTTTAAGATCAAGATATCTTCTAAATGTTTAATGGAAGGCTAGAAAAGGAGATCAGATTTTATTTTATATTTTTTAACTTTCGTTTTGATATTTTAAGACTTTAATTCAGTATAATTCAATTAATAAAGTGGAGGTTCTCTTTCATCGGTATACCCTTATTATTGAAAATTATCAACATACTTTTAAAATAAAAAAATATCAATCAAGAACGATAAATAAAATTTATATCAATTTAAAATTATTTATTATTAAAATTTAAATGAATATTTATTCATTTAAATTAATTTTTATATCAATAAATATATATTTATATTTTAATAATAATTTATTTTAAATTAATAACAGTTTATTTATATTTTTTTATTTAGATTTTGACTACAAATAGTATTTGATATAAAAATTTTTCAATGACGGTAGTTTCCCTTTAAAATATTTTTAAAGATAGTGCCAAGTTGGGTTCGTCTTTGGTGTTCAATAAGTTGTTGAGCACCGAGGTGCTCATCCATTAAATAAAATCTGAGCCATTCAGATTTAAATTGATATTTATTAAAATAAAAATTTATAATTTTTTTTTATAAATAGATTTATCATCAATTTAAATAATACTAATTTAATTTAATATTATAACTTTTTAAATTATCTATCTACATATATTTTGGATAATCCATATTAAATGTTTATATATAAAATCCAAATTTAAAGTTTTTATTTTTTATTTTAATGAATACAATATTAAAAAATAAAAAATAAAATATTTTAATTATAATTTTTTAAAAATATTTTTTAAAAAAATTAAAAATTAAAAATTTTAAATTTAATTGTACAAAATACATCTGAATAATCAATATATAAAAATATAAAATTTTTAATATTAAATTAAACTTTTAAATTAAATATAGATTAAATTAGTCACAAAATATTTGTTAGAAATTTTTTATAATTTTTAATATTTTTATCTTATAATTTTTATAAATTTTTATTTTTAAAAAATATAAGATAAAAATATTAAATTACTTCTTTAAATTTGAATGATCCAGATTAAAAATCTAAGAGGCTGTTTGAAATTATTTTTATTTTATTATTTTAAAAATTAGTATTTTATAAAACATGTTCTGAAAATAAAAAAATAATAAAAATAAATATTTTTTTCATTCTTCTTTATTCTTTAGAATAATAATTTAAAAATACCTAAAAGTTATTTTTATTTTTTTGTTTTTTAAAATAATATTTTATTTTTTATTTTTTAAAATATATTTTAAGTACATGTTATCAAACAGATTTTTTTATTTTAAAAAATAAAAAAATTATTTTTAAAATAGGTTGTCAAAGAGATCTAAATAATCTAAATTAAATTACCCTGATGAGCACGCACAACAAGTGATGAGCACCCAAGATGGTCCCGTGCCAAGTTACCCACCTTACACAATAAACAAAGAAATTGGACAAGCGGAAGTGAAAACCCATTTGAAACCCTGTGCTAGGGTTTCGTGGGCCGCATCTATATATAGTACATGATGGGACTCACTCCATTCTGAGTTGATTCCGGAGGCTTGAGAGAGAAGTCACGGGTGTGGGAGACTTGGAAAGAAAATAAGCGAAAGATATGAATATATTTTCTCAGGAATTTTCTTTCCAATGCCTCCCATACCCTTGATTTTCTCCTTCGTTTTTCTTCCATCACAACACCTTCATATATATCTTCTGCATCTTCTTGCTTCTGCTTCAATGGGAGAAGTCACAGGTATGGGTGGTTTGGAAAGAAATAGGAGAATGTTTATGCATATATAGCCACACAAATACGTATATATATATATATACCACTGAATTTTTCTCTGTTTTTTTTCCTATGCCTCCCATACCCTTGATCTTCTTCCCCTTCACATAATCTTCAAATATGGATCACAACGATTTCAGGATCAGCAACTTCTTCTTCTTCTTGAGGTATGTATATGTTATATTCTCTTATTGGATCATCCTCAGTTCTGAGTTATCTGCAGATCTGCCTTTTTCTAACATACAGGATCTGATCATGTTTGGGTCGGTGTTTGAGGTTTTGTAATCTGATTGTTTGTGGAATCCATTAGCTGCTAGATTCTTTCTCTTGCTCAACTGTGGAGCTTTAATTTTATGTCTGGTTGCAGCAGAAGCTTTAGAGAGAGATAAATGGCTGCCAAGTTGTAGTCTGTGAAATCTGAGGTCGACCGACAGAGAAATGAAATTCTTTAAAGTGATCCTGAACCAAAAATATTTTTGTGGCTCGATTTTATTTTTTAAGAATCTTATCCACTCGTGGACATGCCTTCAATTTCAAGCAATGTCTTTAGGTGCTTATAGACTGTTTATTGACAGTATCCTCTTCCATTAATAATGAGATTTGATTTCACGGCTTGATTTGATGTATTAAAAAGATTCTGGTTAACTACTGGACCAACTGTTAGCCTGAAGTTTTCAGTTCGTGTGGTATTACTTATTTTTACCCAAGGAAGAATAGTGTTTCCTTCGTGATAAAAAAAAAAGGAGACTTGGCATCCGAGACTTCGCAAATAAGGAGTATGATTAATGCGGAATGAATTCTTAACTTATTGTTTCTCCTTTTTTTTGGAATATTTTTTTTTTCAAATTCTTGAATATGATTTTCTCTAGTAAAAAAAATAAAAAAAGAAGGAATTTAACCATTGGGAAAATATCGTTTGAGTACCATGAAAACAATTTAATATTAACAAGGATTTAAAAATTGTTCTGAATTTGAAAATAGTTTTTTATTGAAATAGGTATTTATTAATGAATGAATAATTATTTATTAAAATATTATTTATACTTGATTTCTTTAAATTTTTGATTTTATCAATTAGTGGATGATTATTAATTAAATGTGAATGAATATTTATTAATTATTAAATGATAATTTATAGATATGTGATTTACATTTATTTCTTTCTACAATTAATTTCTTTAAAATTATTGAATTTATTAATTAGTGAATGATTTCGTATTAAAATAAAATTGATAAAATTGATGTACTTAATTTTATATACTTGATATAAATTAAATTATGACATATGAATTTTATTGTATTAATTTAATTACTATCAAGCATTTATTAGAAAAAAATAATGTATAAAAGAATTATGTCTTAGTTTAATTGAATATAAGGAATTTAAAGTATATAAATTTATCTATATAAGTTTTAATGTATTAATTAACGAATGGTTGATATTAAATGCCTCTTTGATACTTGAATGATATCTTCGCATGGCTAGTTGTGCGGCTGTTGTTCTATCTGGACTTCCCTGGTGTTCTACTTGGGTGCAACACCACCCAGATTATCTTCTTTGTGGAACGTGGACAAAGGCTCCTGCGAATTTTTGGCCATCTATTGATTAAAAATACTAACATTCCATTGCAATTTTAAATACTGATAAAGAATTCATAAACGTAACTAAATTTATTATCTACTTATCAGCAATTGTAACGGGATAAAATTAGAAAAAAATTATTAATCATACATCTTGTTATGCAAAGTGATTTATTAAAAAAAAAAGGTAAACATAATTTTTGATCATGTATTTTACTGACATTTTATTTTTTGTCTTTATATTTTTTTCAGTATTTTAAGTCTGTATTTTTATTTTTTATTATTTTTGATCCCTCTAAGAGTAAAGTATATGAATTTTAATAAATTTTAAAATAATAAAAAATAAAAGTACAGAAACTTAAAATATAAAAAAAATATAAAAATCAAAAACAAAATGTAAGTATTTAAGTAAAATGTAAGGATAAAAGTTATATTTACTTAAAAAAATATCAATTCTTTTGGCGATTTATATATAACATGGAAAGGAGTATTTTGTCTGAAGAAATAAATCATTATTTTTTTTATTCTAATTTAAAGATATCTTATTGACATGCGTAAATGAGGAGAGTATTAATTAAAAGTAAAAGAAAAGTCATTTGGAGTAACTATCGATAGCATCGTGCGTGTGATTCCTATCACTATTTTCCATGGGACTTGAGTCAAGAAATCGAGCCAACCCAATGTCAAAACTTGTTTAAACGTGTAAGTCATAATGAGCTAAAAAAAGCCCTCTAAAGGTAAAAGCTGACCTCGTTTAAGCATACATACATATATTTGTGTGTGTCTTTTATTAAAACAAATTATTAATATTTGATGAATAAAGCACATATAATCAAATATTGTTGATATTAAATATGGCAATGACCATCATGACTATACTGTTAATGTTTGGGTATTATAATTTTATTGACATTTATAGAAGACTTGTTTAATTTATTTATATTTGTTTGGTTTGATTTTGAAAATTTAAACATTGATTTGGTCCTTTAATTAGTAAATATTTCATTGTTTATGATTTATTTTATTTTCACACACACACACACAAGAATTTATTTGAAAACAATTAAAAGGATTTAAAACACTCTCATTATTATGGTGTGAATGAAAAAAAAAAAATATTCCCAACCCAATTTTTTATATTTTTTTTAAGTAAAGTTTTTAAAAAATATCATATACTTTAATAATTTTTAAAGAGAGTAATAGTGACTCAAACCCACTATGGAGGAGGAGGGGGAAAAACAATTAATTTTAATTGGAAACATGAATAGAGCCGATATTTAGTAAGAAAGGCCCGAGATTAATAGAAATATATGTTACAAACCTTTCCTGAATCTTAGAATACTAGAAATATGTAATATCTATATAGTGTTTTAAAAAGATCAATGTTTTAATTACTAAAACAGATGATGAACTAAAAAAGTCAGCAAGTCACAAGTTTCACAATATAAAATATTAAATTTAATTTTTTTATTTTTTTTCATGTGTGTGTATCTTTTTATTTACTTTATTTGTTCTTTTAAATCAAATGAGTTTTACATTTTTTTCTACTCTTTAATATATAATGTCATTGAAAAAATTATGCATTCATGATTTTAATATAATAACTTAGAAGTAAGGTGACATTGATATTTTTAAGTTAAATAAATTGTTTATTACCTAAATAAGAGTAAAAAAAAAAAGTTTCAAAGCAGTCTAATTGTTACAGGTTTTAAATTTTTTATTACCCAATGTGTCGAGCACAAATTTAAAGAAAGAGTCCATTTCAAAAAATTAGCTTGTTAGGTGAGAGAGCTCATTGAATTTATAAACTTCACACCATTTGTGAGACTCTCTGATGTGAGACACTTCACTTGACCTTCTATCTGTCAGAACCCTCTGTGGGTAATCTTTTTCATAACACCAGCCTTTCAATAAAAGTACTAATATAAAGAGCATGAACTTAAAGGAATAATCCATTAAATTTATAAACTTTACACTATCTATAAAGTTTTTTTTGATATGAAACTCGTAATAATCTTCAAAACTTACTAAAATCATAGTAGATTAACCCGGGCCAACGATTAAAATGAGTTAAATAATTGAATTAAAGCGCTTTCTTTATTAGCCGACAGTTCAATTGGTCTACCCATTCAAGTCTGTTTGAGTCTCAAAAACATTGAAAAAATCCAAAAACTTGGGGGCAACCATGCCTTGCTGGTTCCTCCCTCCGCCCTTGATTAGCACTGACCATGGAGTCACATGATACATGCACACATAATACTACATCATTTCTTTTTCATAAAAAAACAAACAATTCAAAATACTGAATCATCAAAACCATAAATTTGGTTAATATGAGGACGATGCAATCAGCAAATTATTATTTCTTTTTCAAAAATATCCTCATTTATGAAATTGTAAGAGTTCAAATAAAAAATTCTAATAGTGTAAAAAAAAATGAAATTTCCAATTTACTCTTTTTAAATGTAATATCTATAAAGACACTTTATTTTTCATATAACTTTTTTTAATTGATAATACATGTAACTTTTTACTATCTACTTATTAAAAATTGTAAAAAAATAATTGATGATCAATTTTTGTAAAAAGTGATTTTATATATAAAACTGAAAAGAATATACAAGAAAAGTTTTATAAAATATGGTTAAAAGTTGGGGGTTAGAGAAACTAAGCTTGTCCCTTTGTGTATAATGTATTTTTAATAAAAAAAATTAGGTAAATTGAATTTTGAAGCTTTCGTAAGGAAAAAAAAAATCAAGTTTTGAGATTTGGCAAAATCAAGATATATTTTTAAGTTCAAAAAATAATTACAAATGTATTTATAATTTGTACACTAATAATATTTTTATATCAACTTTTATCTCATAATTTTATAATTTATAAGTTAAATTCTCACTAATTAAATCCATACTTAATAATCCCTTTGCGTACAGTGTTGTAATCAACGGAGGGGATGAAGAGACTTTGGGCTTTTGCACGCATCCAACTACTGTTTCTAAGAGGCAGATTCTCACTCCAATCCCATTGGTTGATTGGATTTGGATCCTTGGATGTAACTTTAATGAACGAGTCAGCTTCTAACAACTGTTGCGAATCTAGATTCGTATTGTTATCAAAAGATGTGCTTATATTTTGTGCTTTATATAACCGTGCTTTGAACATATTACTTTCAAGTTTCAAGTGTTGGCCAAAAAAATAAAAGTTTCAAAAAGTAAATATTCACGCGCGATAAAATAAAAAGAGGCCGAAATACTCCTTCTGGCTTAAATTATAAATTTTAAAATATTAAATAAAAAATATTTTAAAAAGTTTATATTTATATTTTACAAAATAAAATTATTAATTATATTTAATAAAATATATTAATATGTAAAATTTTATTTAAAAATGTCTTATTATTTAAAGCAAAAAAATAATAATAAAATAATAATAATAAAAATATGAAATGAATGTAAAGGAGGGAAGAAGTGAAATTCCAAAAATAACCCTGGATTTAGGGCAAAGAGGAATATAAAAGGACATAACTGGGGGAGGAGAAGGAAGTGGCCGACTCGAAAGATAGAGAAGACAGATATGACAGCAGCTCAATGGAAAAGTCATAGGCGTGGGAGGGTGGGAAAGAGATCCAGACACACATACTTGCCGATCTCTCTTTCCTATGCCTCCCATGCCCTTGCCTTTCCCTTTCTCTCTCTACACCATCCTTCTTCTTCTTCTTCTTCACCTATACACATACAGCTCTCTGCTACCACATGGGAAATCTCACAGGCTTGGGAGCTTTGGAAAGAAACACACCATTTATCTGTGCGTGTTTAAAAGCACGCGCACATATCTTTTTTTTCCGACGCCTCCCATGCCCTTGAGTTTTCCCTTCATATTCTCTCCGGTCGATCTGGATCTGCAACTTCTTCTTCAGGTATATCTATTTTAGAAATCTTATTCCATCTTGCTTACTTTTGATGACTTGTTAGATCTGACTTTGTCTAACGTGCAGCTCTGTTACGAAATCTTTTATATTTTGTTACTGAGTTATGGATCTGTTTCGTCTCGAATTTTGATCGGCTTAAGTTGTCAGATCTGAATGTTCCTGCCTCTAATCTGGAGTTCCCTCATGTGTTTGACTGATGGCTCACAAAGAATCGACTAGGAGGTCATTGATCTTTAGGAAGCTCTAGTCTTTTGAGCTGCAACATACTCCAGAATTTCCCACAGTACTGCAGGAAGAAATATATATTATTTACCGTTCTCTCCACGCGTTAGACTTGTTAGAAGTACGTCAAGAAAAATTTTGGTACTGAGTGAATGAACTTTATGGACTGTGCTTAATTAAGATGAATTTTTAAATTATTTGTTTCAATTGGGTAATACTTAATTTTGGCTAAAAATCTAGTCCTGAGATGGATCATAAATAAACTATTTTATTAGACTGATCAAGAAATTGGTTCATGATTTGAGTTAAATCGGACAGTTAAGTTTGAGTGACGTTATATTGTAGCATGAGCCGGCTACTTGGTTTAATTGGCTTAAAATATGGTTTGTTGGTTTAAAAGTTAGTTTCAAGTTAAAAAAATATATGTTTGGGTAGGAGTTGTTGATAAATGAGTTTTTCTTTTTCAACTACAAATCAAAAGTTAAGATTTTAAAGCGCTTACATTAATTATATTGAAATTTAATCATTAATAGTATTTAATGCATTATAAATTTATTGAATCACTTATTTATTCTTTCACATTTCCTTTTAAAAATTGATATTTTTATTATTTATAAATTTAACGTTTTTATTATTTTTAATATATATATATATATTCTTTAAATAGATTTGATTTGAGTTTTTTAGTATTTAAAAATGTTTTCTACTTTAATAATAATACATCAACTTTTATTTTAGTAATTATAATTTTTATATTTTCTTAAATTTATCAAATGTCATACTTATATGTGTGGAAGATGGATTTGTGGAAGGTTTCGTTATTAAGGATTAATGGTGTTTAAAATGGATCAAAATCCAATGAAAGTTGAATCGAAACCAAACCAAACCAATTAGGTTCAGCATTTCTTTGTTTTGGAAAACTGAGGTTCAGCATTTGTATAATCACTGTTAAAAAAAAACTAATAAATCGAGGAAAATAATTTCAAAAGTTTGCTTTGAACGACGTATGTTATCTTCACGCGTAGTTGGAAATGGCTCAGGGGTCAAGAAAGTTGGTGGAAAATAAGTAAACGGCGAAATTCATGGAAAATTTCGATAGCTTGATAAACCAGTGGAAAAAAAAAAGTAGAAAATAAATTTTTAACAAATGTTTAAAGTTTGTAACAGATTTTCAGACATTTAAGGAGGGGAAATAATATTTTGTATTTTCATCGTCTTTGCATAATTTCATAAACGTATACAGCAAGGTGGAGGACGGTCAAGATTCAAGATACATTACATATGCATCAGTATCTGTATGTGACGAACAAAATGTCGCTTTTTTTTTTTTGGGTGAGAATGAGATGGGCAACAGCAAGAACCGTGCAAGTGATAACAATCAAATGAAGTCAGCGCTCAAAAAGCTTTTGCATTCTAGGGGCAGTTTTTCTAAAATTTTAATATTTGGACTATCATTAAGGGCTACGACATGTGAACAAATCTGCACAATTGTTTGATTTTTTTATAGATGTAATAAAAAATGATCATTCAATTTTTTATAGTAAAGTTTTTAATCTTTGTGATTGTTTTTGAGAGAGTATAATTGTTGTTGAAATCATGGCCCATTGATCAAAAAAGCTTCATAGACATTGATTTTAAAAAACTTGCTATGTCAACAAAAATAAAACCCTTCAAAGATGTTCAAGTTCAGCAGCAATGTTGAAAAAAATAGACAAGATAGTTAGAAAAGCTTTTTATTCAAGTCCTTAATTCATCATGGATGATGCCTATTTATATTAATAAAACCATCAGTGTCGAATTTAACCTAATCAAGTCCTTGAAATCTATCATGATCTATTAATGCAAGTTTGAGTTTTGATTGAAGCTTTATCTTTTCAGTGCAAGTAAAAGCAGTGTCTTTAACAGAGATGTCTCCTTTAAAATAGGCAGATTTGCATCTTTCTTTTTACATGTTCAGCATGTCGAAAGAAATGTACAGATGATTAGTCTTTTTGGTCAAAAATTAATGAAACTTTGGTTCGTGGGAGTTACGCTAAATAAAAAAAAGGAGGCCCAATTAGTATTAACGTCACTTGTGAGGCCCACTTTGGGGGCTTTCAAAGCAGCAATATGGATGTGTCCAGATATCCAAAAAAAAAGTCAAGCTTACATAGAGAAAAAGGCCCAAAATGTTGTTTGCATGTTGGACAATATTGGTGGCAAAATAAATTAGTATCGCTAGAAGGAGGGCTTGAACCTCCGACCTTGTGGTTAACAGCCACACGCTCTAACCAACTGAGCTATTCCAGCTAATTAACTTATGATGTTTATTTTATTTATTTAATATTAATATGGAAATCACCTTTGATATTCAATGTTTCTTTCATAAATTAAGTGATATATAGTTTAAGGTCCTATTAAAATTTGATAATTATCTCCCTTTAAGCACGAAATATTTTTTTCCCATGAATAATTGTACAGGAGGAATATGTTTGATGTGCTCATTACTATTAACAAAATAAAATACTGAAGCAAGGTTACGCCATTTCCCCCCAATTATAAGCAATTAGTTTATTCATTGTATATTTACATGAGAAATACATAGAAAATTTTAAAATTAATTTATTTTAAAATTTTCATATATTTGTCTTCTCAAATTATGTTATGATATTCATGATTTGGCTAATAATCGGTTTTCGCTTAAAAGTGAAAATTTAGGTTGATAATGATTCGAGATTAGATATGTGCATGATTAAAAATAATAAATGATACGAAAATAGAATAACAGTAATACCGAATATTTATTATTGTATATGAGTTAGAAAAATAATTTCTAATTTGCAAGTCTAGAAATTTAGTACATCGATGGCAAAGGGCAGACTTCTCATTTGGAAAGGTTTTAACCTAAAACATGATCCATTCGGGTTTGGGTGCCCATCGTGTTTGTCAATGTAATAAAATTTGGACCATTTACATTCTAAATTTAATCTATTGTTATATATTATATTTTTTAAAATAAAAATTATAAAAATTATAAAATAATTTAATAATTTAATAAAAATTATAAATATTGAACCAAATAATAATTTCAGGCCCTTGTTTGAAATTTACAGAGCTAATATAGTACAGGAACATGAATCATATTTGATTAAAGTGAAGTAGTGGGAAATTAAACAGAAAAGAACAGATCAATCGTAAAATGAATTTTTCAATACAAATAAAGCTAGTACACACACACACACACACACACACACACGTTATGTTATTTTATTTATATTTCTTTTCCTTGACAGGCCCTCTTGGAATCTTGTTGAAAACTTTGGAATCAAGTGCGGTCATCAATCTTCTCAAGTCTTGATTGCCTTTGCTTGCCAGATAATCCACCTCATATTCATATCTCTCGTACATCACAGGCAAGCACACCATGCACATAAACACTAATTAAAACAACACAAAATAGTAATAATTAATAATTAATTAACTAACAACAGGGCTGAATAAGAAAAAATTAATTATAATGCATAGGTCAGTTCCAGATCTTACTGAAGTATATCAGATTCAGAGTGGTGAAATAATTCCCAATGGCCGACATGATCCACAGGCCAGCGATCGTCTGATGAACAAAACAGTTAATTACCCGATTAATTAATTAGTTGATCCCATAAAATTAATCATGATGTTTGAGGAGTAATCAAATTATATATGAATTTAATTAATTAATCAATAGCTTTTTAGTTTAGCTATGGGTACCGCAAAGAAGAGGGAGAGATCTTTGCCAATGGAGATGCCGTAAAACTTCCTCAAAAACCAGTTGATTCTCGCACAGAAGAGTCTCACTGTGGATTCTGAGATTTGAAGATCATGAACACTTGGAGGACCCCTGCCAACAGAAACAAATTCAAAGATATATAATTTGCAAAAAGAAATAAAGAATCTTTTTAATAATTATAGTTGAGTTAGATTTGAATATTGTCCGGTTGCATCTTATATAAGGTTAAACCTATGACTTTAATTTATTCAAAGAATATCGAGTCTCTTCCACCTGACCCAATCATCATTGGTGAAGAAGCCAAGATTGTAATAGAAGAAGAAATGAAAGGCAAACGTACCAAGTGATGAAGCCGGCGGCGTTGTACCAGAGGAAGAGGAGGAGCATGGCGGCGACAAGGAGGTGACAGAGAAGGGAAACAAAAGGGTATTCCAACCCTTCAAAGAGGAACCAAATGAAAGTGAAAGCTCCTACTATTGCCCCCGTCATCTTCTTGTCCTCCCATAGCATTATATCTGCAACTGCATGTTCATATTCATGCAAAATCATGTTCATTATTTTGCACCTTAGTAATAATTCATTTTTCCAAATCATGAAATATACCATAATTATTGTGGCGGCAAAATTATATTTTTACATAGTATTAAGAACTAGATGAACCTGGCTGATTGAACTGGTAAACAATTATTGAACTAGTACCTTAATTAATTTAATGAAATGCATGCTTTGTAAATGATGACCCGCCTAATCACAATTCAACTTTAATTTTGACTAGTAATTATTGAATCATTATCTTAACCGGCTCAATAACTGATATGATTTTAAATACATGTATAAGTGATTAATTATTCCTAAGAAGGATCTTCTAGACAAAAAGGAACTAATTAAAGAAAATCTTATATTTCTTCATTTATATGTCGCCTTTAATTAAATCTTATATTTCTTCATATATATATGTCGCGTTTAATTTCAAGTGTTGTAAAATGTAACATTGTTTGAAATATTAAATTTGGTTATTGCATGAATGGCATAAAATTGAAATACATCATTAGGTATGGATGCAATGAAAATATATTTGCTTCCTACGTTGTTACAACAATCCAATATTTCCTACTCACACCTTAATCTTTTCAAAACCATATAGTGCGTGATTGATTAAAAAGAGGCATATATAGTTAGAAGTATCTTACACTTTCCGCCGCCAAGGGCGGCGTGAAGCGATCTCCGATAACCAAATTTTTTTGGCTGTTTTGAAGATTCATAAGAAGAAGAAGGAGAACGGCTTCGCATGATGTGATTCTTAGATTAATTCTCTTCTCTGATTGATTAATATGATGATGTATAATTCTCTCAGATATGGATGAATGGTAAATATATACATAGTTATGAGTTGAAGAAGAGGGATTGTTGTTCTAAACTTGGTGACAAAGATATATTAACTTAATTCATTACATAGATGGACGAAAGGGATGCCTTTTGCATGCCCTTTAAGCTTTTTACTTCCCTCCTTCTCACGCACCTTTCACCTATCCTCTGTTTCTTCTTCTTTTTTATCCCATATATATAATAAAAAAATATTGGTTAAAATAAATTAAATGTTTATAATATTATTCAGCTAATTAATAATGGTAATTACCTGTGACTCATTTGAGTTTTGAACTCTCTGTGCATGTGGAAAGTTTATTTAAATGTGATTTAAAGTTTGAGATATATTTTCCCATGGCTTTAACATAATCAAATATATACGAAAGTATAATAGAAAATGGTCTAGGCTGCAGCGCTGCAACACATTACGTCTATATATGGATGGGCCTTATTAAGGATTTTATATATAAACTTGAGTTAAGCCCGGCTCCATTAAACTCATGTTTATAATCAACAAATATAGCTTATAATTTAATTGCATTTTCTTTTATATGGCTTTTGTTGGTTCTATTGGTTGTGCAATATTGTTTTAAAATTCAGAAACGTCAGCACGTTATGATTCTCATCATGGTGTAATTGGTAGTATAATAATTAAATAAAAAATAATATTTAAATGAAAAATGAACCACAACATAACGGTCCAATCATTTCGAGTCTCACATTTTTTTTTTTCTGTCTTCAAAAATTGCCCAAGTCAATTGCAAGAACAGACCAAATAGTTGAACCAAATTGCTTTCTTTTTTGGGAGATGGTACAACCGATTCAATTGTTTGGGTCGGTCCAGTTCTGAAAACATTGTTCTATAATATAACTAATCATGTATTAATTACTATCAATGTACCCTCTCCGTCTTTATTATTCAGCATTTTTAATTATCTCATCAGAACTAAGTTAAATTATTAATTTTGTTTGAAAATAGAATAAATTTTTAATTTTATTCCAATTTAAATGAAACTTTTTCAAAATTGCATTACATTTTCTATCATAGTTAATGGATTTAAATAAGAGTACTATTGAAAAAAATGTTTCAAGTGCCTTATATCATAACAAATTGTAATGTTTGGCAAAAGATAATTTTTTTGAATATGAAAAGGCAACGTTAATCCAAACAAAGGATACTAGAGAAATCAGTTCGCTGGATTCCAGTAGCGTCAACGCTCAACACTTGTCCTGTAACAAGAAGGATTGTGGTAAGTGCATGTATTTCCTTCCTTCCTATGGGAAGGAGTGTGTAAATATGGATGAGTAAGTGGGTTATTGGGTAATTGTTCCCCACCAAAAAAAAAAAATCAGTTCACAAATTGAGAAGCTTATTGTTTTCATCATCCACCATATCTTAGTAAAAAAAAAAAAAATGGTGGTTGATCAAAAGCACAAAAGCAACCAACATGATCAAGAGTGTCTTGAGCAACTAAATAGGTGTGATTTGTCACTTTATACGTAAAGTTCAAAGATACTACTCTAAGATGAAACAAGTAGTCCCCTGCATGCTTAACAAACGTAGCTAGAAAAAAGATGTTGGCTTGCATCGTTCCCCGTAAGTGGATTGATTCTTGGAATACTCTTTGTAGATTCAAATGGCAACAAAGGTCGAGGCTGTCTTGAATTTATTCTCCATAAATATATATACGAATAGGTATAATTTTTAATCGTTATACTTTACTCATATTTTGCTTTTGATTCTTATATTTTTTTTTTGTATTTTAAATCCTTATACTTTTATTTTTTATTATTTTCTGTCCTTCTAAAGTCTCTATATTTTGCTTATAGAAGGACTTAAAACACTGAAATAAAAGTGTAGGGGTCAAAAGCAAAACGTAAGTAAAGTATATGAATAAAAAATTATGTTTACCCATATATATATATAACTGATGTAAACTATGTCAGTTTATTCTCTGTAAGAAAAATCAATATAAACTATGAACTATATACTCCTTCTGTTATAAAATATAAGGTATTTTTTAAGGAGTTAGATGTTAAAAATATAAGATATTTTTAGTCTTTTAAAATGTAATCATTGTCTTTTTTTTTTCAAAAGTGCCCCTATTAATAGTAACTTTATATTTATTATAGAGTATTTAATAGGGATAAATATAAAAATATAGGGTTAGTTTAAAAGTAGATAACTACTTTATTGAGTGTGAGATTCGATTAAAAATATCTTATATTTTTTAATGGAGGAAGTATACCATTTTTTTAATTGTTACTCATGTAAATGTGCAATAATCGATGTTATTTTTTTAATAAACTTTTTGTTGGTTTTATGTCCATCGTAAATTTGTATATTTACTAGTATGATTTTAAAAATTGAGTTTATCAGAACAGATTAATTCTTTACAACGTAACAAATTAAATTTCAAATTTTTGGTAGGAAATACACAATACTACTATAATTTTATGCGTGTTCTCAATACTGTACAAAGTCCTTACAGTAGTATAGTGCCAAAATAAGCTTTTCAATCTTTGGACTCAATTTCTTGTTAGGGCTAAGCTCAAATTAAATAAATTTCAAACCGGAAATCTTGAATAATAATGGTAATAACAATATCATTTGGTACAATTCAAACTTACAAGTTCCCAAGCATTATTATAAAGGAACGTTTTCACTCATGGTCCCCCTAACATTGTGTAATTAATTATTTTATTTGTAGATAATAATATGATATATCATGTTGTAGATGAGGGAAGAAACCATTATCCAATAATTTTATTTTAAAGTGACATCTTTTATGTATTGTGTGTGTGTGTGTGTGTGTGTGTGAATCTCTATCGAAGAGGAAGCACTCATGTAGTAAATTGGATCCACTTTCAAAGTGGAGTGTCCACTTTAGATAGATTCATGATGGGAATGGCCATAATGTGTAGTATATTTATAACAAGTGCTACCTACATGTAATAGATTATTTTATTTAAATAATGAATTGATTCCTTTTCTTATATCCTGAAAACATAAGTCTATGTATAATATTTAATGTGATGAATAGTTGGATACCTCCTAATAATATTATTTTTCCGTCGAACAAAAAGAAGATACTTTCTGTTTAAAATTATAAAGAACTTTTAATTAATTTTTAATTTAAAAAAATTTAACATTATTAAAAATTATATACTCTTTTCATATTAACTTGATCATAAATAAATATAAAAATATCATTAATTTTAAATATTTATCAATGACATTTTTAAAATAGCTTCATTAGTCACTCTTAGAGAAAACAACAATGCTTTATAATTTTAAACAGGAGTAATTATTATAAAAAAGATGTAAGAATAAAAATATAAAAATTGGTTTAACAATTTTCTACTCTCATTCCATAATTTGCAACCATAAAAAAAAAGAGAATTTACAAGTAAAAATGTAAAATCCACTAATTTATGAATGAAAAATTTGCCAGACAGAGAACTATTTTCAGTGATTTTTACGAATTAGTGAATCACACTTGCAAATTTTCATTTAGAGAGTTGTAAATCATGGAGTGAAAATACCAAACTTTTAAACCAACTTACTAAAGGACCATTGGTCCTTATTTCAGATTTTCAAATCTTTTAATCCTTGTTTAAATTTAATTCAATCTTTTTAATCCTTTGATGTAATTCCCCCTTTGATTCAAACATAATTTCCCTTTAGGACTACGGTCTTCTAAAATATTTAATTCAATCACTGGTCCTTCGTCCAAAAAGTTTAATACTTTAATCCCTTTGACCAATTTTCCCTAAAACAATCCCAATGAGCCTTTTACGCATTACATCGCCGAAAGTCGCTAATTAAGCGTGACATGCTACAGAAACTTTTTCCCCCACTTTTAAATTCAAGATTATGACCAGGCAGTTTCTACCAAAAAGAAAAAAAATTGTGACCTGGCAGTCAATAATTAAATTAGCTTACGAATTTTATAACTTAAATTTCTCTTACTTACTATTGGCCAAAAAAAATTCGCCTACTTGATCTGTTATTTCATTCTATTCAAGAACATTGATGATGACAGTCCTACATTCTCATGCTTCTCATGCTCAAATTTTTTAAGCATATTGGTTCAATATAGTCTTTGAATGTTTAATTAGTCTCATCTTAATATAAATCAAATAATAAGATTTGACTACATGGGGGCAAATCAAAACAAACAATAGAAATCTTGATACTTCTGTTTCAAAATATAAGTTTTTCTTTTGGAGAAATTTTTTTATTTCATTTTATGTTTTTTTTTAAGTTTAACATATCATTTATTAATATTTTCCGCATTATACTTTTATTTACTCCAATAACTTTAAAGCAACAATTTTTTAAGTTTTAACTACATATTTGACAATATAATTTTTGTATTAATTTCATTTCTTAATATGTATGCAAATATCTTAAAATGCTTTTATTATGGAATGGGAAGAGTATACGTAAACTGGTATGTTTTCAAATACCTTTTCTTTCAAACATAAAGTACAATAAATTCAATTCGCTCTTTTGTTTTTTTGGTCTATTATTGTACTATATGATTTATTGCATTCAGTAAATTGACAATATTTTGAAATATGAATAAGATGACATAATGTGAAAATCGATGACAAATCAAAATAGACAATAAAATTATTGATGTGAATAAACAAAAAAATCCGCTAATTTTTTTACCCAAACCCCCCCCACTAATTCAAATATTTTTCCTTTAAAGCATAAGTAATTTTCATATCTTTATATATAATAAATCCTATTTATTCCCCTTTCTGTCTATCTAGAGATTTCTTGTTAACAGGCTATCTAATCTGTCGACAAGCATGCCTTCCTACAGCAATATCCACAAAGTAATTTCAATTTTGCTCCAAACCACACTGTCCTCTCACTGTGTCTATAAATAGTGAATGATCCCACCACAGGTTTTAGCACCAACACATTTTCCATCACCAATCAATCCATCTGAGTCTCACATTCTCTCAACTCCGAAACTCACTCTTGTTATTCTTAAAATGAAGGTCCCACATATGACATTATTGATGTGGGTGATGCTTGCTCTGTTTTCTGCAGAAACACAGGTTTCAATGGCAGTGACCTGTAATGCTCTTCAGCTCAGTGCATGTGCGAGTGCTATCACCTCCTCCACACCTCCCACGTCACTTTGCTGCACCAAACTCAAAGAACAAAGACCTTGTCTTTGTGGCTACTTGAAGGATCCTAACCTTCAGAAACTTGTCAACTCTCCTAATGCCAGAAAAGTTGCTGATGCTTGTGCCTCACCATTTCCCACTTGTTGAAACCTTTTTCTTCGTCTTCTTTTTCACAGTAGCCATTTAGATGGTCAAGAATATGGTTTTATACAGTTTTTGGGTTCTGTTTGGATTGATATCTGGCAGGCTGTGTTGTGTTTTGTGGTGTTATGAGTATGGTCTAGTATTCATGTACTTGAAATGTTTGTTCAAGTGTCAAGTAGATCAGTTCTTCATCTGTCTATCTTACAGTGATCCTTTGCCGCTTCTATTTATTTTGAGTTAAAGGAGCTCTGGTCATTCGTTATCACTTTCAAAGGGTTTTTTTTTTTTTTAACACTACTGGATTGCAGCTTCTTCAATTATCCATTTTAGATTTTGGCCAAGCGAAAAAAAATTGTCCGATTTAGAGTGCTTTCTCTAAGATATGATCATAATTGAGGACATGTTAGATCAATTGAAGAGAAATTCAATGACTGAAATAAGGATTGATTTTTTGTTGGAATCTTTGCTTCAAACAAATTGAATAGGCATAGAATTATCATGACTCTTTCTTTGTGTAATGTACTTGGAATCTTAGGGCCTGTTTGGTTTTCTTTCGTTTCACGTTCAGATTAAAAGTTATTTGAGTAAAATATTTTACAGAAAAGCACATTTTAAAAAGTACATTTAAACAATAGTTGAAAGTTGAAAGTGAATTTTTAAAATGTAACTATTTGAAATTTTTGAAAAGTAAATTTAAAAAGTAGGATGTTATTTAATCATATTATCTCAAGTTTAGTCTAATATTCTTTTATTTAAACAAAAATTAATTCATTAAAATATAATTATTATTTTAATAATAATAATAATAATTAGGTATCAATTTTTGAGCATTACAAATTGAATAATTAATCATATTAATTAACATTAATACATAATAAAAATTATAAATCATTATCACATTTTCTAAATTTATAAATTTAAAAAATACAAATAACTAAAGATCAAATTTTTAGTATTATAGATCAAAATTTATGTTATTTAAAATCTTTATCATATTTTTTAAATATTTTAGATATATTATATTTGTATAATAAAAATTATAAATTATTATAAATCAATGTCCTTTTTGATAATTGTATATTCAAAAGCACATTTTATTATCACAAACCAAATAACTTTTAAATGTATCAAACCAACTTTCAAAAAAATATATTCAAATATAAATTTCGTTACAACAATTGACTTTCACTAAATTAACTTTTATTAAATGAACTTTTATCAAATAAATTTTTAACAAACTGAAAACCAAATGCATACTTAAATTGTCCCACATCAAGTTGATGAAATTTTAATAAAACCCAGACTAATCCAAATGGAATTTCCAAAACTCAAATTACCGTGGCTCTTTAAATACCTTTCTAAATATTCCTCAATGTCCCAACTAGTCCTAGAATGTGAGAAGCAAATGAATGCTTGAGGAAGAACTTGAAGAATTTCTTGAAAATCCTACAAGATTTATTTGTTCCTTTTTGCTTTAAAGATGATCAAACCTACAAATAACTTTGAATCCTTGGTAAGAGATTGAGTAGAGATTTGAAATTGTTGAAGAACAAAGAGAGAATGACAAAGAAGTCCCAAAAGAACTAACTAATATAAGTTAAGTCCCAAATGTTAAATTTTAAGAATTTGCAACTTGATCTTTCAATTTTATAACTTATGATAAATTTACAACTTATATTTCAAATTTTAACAAGAAAAATAATTTTTTATTCTTTAATCATGTTAAAATTTGAAAAATAAGTTGCCTATTTATTACAACACAATTATAAAATTAAAAAATTGAGTTATAAATTTTTAGAGTTTGACATTTAAAACTTAACTTAAATTAAAAAGGACTTCTTTGGTATTCTCCCCAAAAAAATGACATTTTAACTTCATATCACATTTCATTTTAAAAAATCATCAAAAAAATTTAGTTTTATTTTCTTTAAAGAAATTATTGTCTAAGTTTCAAGAATTTAACAGACACAATTATAAGAAATATTGAACATTGATATTAAAAGGTGACATAAATTTGTGTACCATATGAAAAAATAATGAGATGTTGAGGTAGGCTTTTGCTTTCAAGAAGTGGTTTGGGATTTTGATGTTATTAATTAATGAGAGCTGATTCAAGTTTTCAAAATTATAAAAGCCACCATCTAAAAACCAACCATCATGATAAAAATATTAAATAAAAACCAGATTTTATCCTACTAACAACACTTTTATTAGTATCAAAACTACTCTAGAACAAGTTCTACAGGCACTTCAACAACACATTTGGGGCAATTCAAGCAGATCTAACAAAATCTTTTTCTGTCAAAATTCCCCCATAAATTAAAGGTAGACCCTAAATAATGATATCAGATCAAGAAATAAGAGGGAAAACAGCCTCTTCTCTTCATAAATATAGTTCCAAAAGACCCAGTAACAATTAATGTGGACTATATATTTAAGCCAGCACTACTAAAGCTTCTCGAACTTTGCACCATCAACACATCCCAGAGGAACCTCTGTAGAGATGCTTGTCCAAACTTTCACTGCTTTGATAACCAAAGCAGGAAATCACGGAAGACATAGTTTATCATTTTCTTTTTCACTTTTTCTTCCAGTGAATTCAGTGAGAAACTCCAGAATTCATTTAAATCTTGGCATTTGAAAATGGGGCCAAGCTAGGACTGCCACTTAACAGCCAAAGGAAGATCCGCCTTCACAGCGGCATCACCGGCAGAAAAACAGAAAATCTGGGTGATTGACCTGAAGCAATCTTAACCAATTACGAGCAGCCTGCAAGAGAGCACTAGCTAATTGGCAATCATATCCACCATTTGGGGTCCACATAGATGCTTTGAACTTGTACGAAGCAAGACCAAAAACAGGCAAAGACATTTTGGGGATGCCATCAATCTCACAGGGACATGTCACTATGGGAGCCTGAACCCCTTGCGAACCTGTAAGATGTGTGTTAAATGATCAAATCCCATAAATGCAATTGATGAATGAAAAGAAAACAAGTTGTTCGTCATGGGAGTCATGGAAATTAATAAAGTTGGTCATTCGTTAACCAACAATCTAGAAAGAAGTTTAATAATGTCTTCAATGAAAATTAATTTTAAAAAATCACTATAATCACAAAGTAAAAATGGCACATAGCTGTATGCGTTGATACCTTAAAAAACTAAACAATTGATAAAAAACAGAGAATATTAGGCGCTCCAATGTATTAACAGAGAAGGTTGCAAAAACTGAATATTGAGAAGGGATGTGTAGTTTAAATGTCAATGACAGTACAGAGATATGCTAACATCTATAGAGAGGATAAGAAAGGGACTCTACACACAATATCAAGTCAAATTCCCAAGAATTCTGTACTAAGGGATGATTCCAGATTTTATTGAAAGAAGATGATACATTCAGCTGCTGGAATTATTAAAACATTGTATTTGATGCATCTGTGAATTAATAGATGAAATTTAACCAAGATGAGAATAATACAACAATCTCATTAAACGCATAATTATATTTCTCAGATTTCATTACAGAGCAAAAATTCAGTACAACAGAAATGAAGTGAAAATTACATCCTACCTCCCACAGGTGTATGAAGAGAATGAAACGTCAAAAAGCAAGCATCAAGATCCCTCAATGTTGGTCCAGTTGGTATTCTGTAAATAGGATACCTACAAGTAGAATAGAAATTTGAGCTGCTTGAACATCTGTAAGCCCCTCAGCAAAGCACATTGGTAAACAAATAGTACCATGCTACAGAAATCCAACTATCAGATAGTATATCACAACTTCTAAGCCTTGACAGCTCAGGGAAACGAAAAGCAAGGTCCAATATCTGTCCCAAAGAAAAGATAATATTATCAAATAACTAAACAAAGGGGAGCTAATGACAATAGATGACAACTAGGCTTTAGAGAACTGAGTAGAAAGGAAAGAGCATGAGTTAACACACCTTGTCAGCCAAAGGTTCACGGCTATAAGGAGGGTCCCGTTCAAGATACTCAAAAATTAAGTGGCCTCGAGAATTGACAGCCTCACCTTCATCACTAGAAAAGCCATCCTGAGGAACATCAAGGTGGTCTCTCAAGGATAATCTGTCCATCTGATGAGAAACTTCGTCTGAAGGATGTTGAAGATTTCTCTGGTCCCTCAAGCATTTCAATCCTCTTTCAGGTTCACCATCACTGCTACCATCACTACTTGAGTCCCTGAAATCAGTGTCACTATCCTCACCTGGTTGCCTGTTAAAAAGTGAAACACTCGCATTATTGTTTCATACAATTAAAGTGAAAAACTTTCTGCCGTGGTGAGAATCCAAGAGTAAAGAAGAGTAAGAGCCACATGAGTAATAAGAACTTTTTTTTTTTTGGGGGGGGGGGGGAGGTCAGGAAGTGAGCTTTCAACGTTGGTCAATTTGTCTTATTAATTCACAAATATAATCAATAGCCAATTTGCTATCAAAATTGGCACCATATTTACACAGTTTCCCTGAGATTCGTGTAGCATTCACAGTTTGACATACTCTACTCACATAGAATACCATAACAGAGAATTCAATCTCTATTTCAACGAGAATAAGTAGTAACAGGCCGGCGGTACAATCATCAGGAAGAAATAATAAAATGAAAACAACATAAATATGCGCAAAGTGTAGGAATGGGAAGCAATGAAATAGAAGGCAACTAAAGGAAAAACAGAAATGTTTTTCAAGATAAAACCTAATTATCATGTAATTGGCACTGCCATCACAATATAGAAGAAAACATCATGTATCGGCACTTTGTATGGAAAGGAAAATTTTGAAGAATGACACATGACACACAAATAACAACCAAGCATTCAATATTGCAGTCTAATTTTATATGCAAAGGGGCAAAACAAAAAGGATGCTTATCATTCGAACAAGTTTTACAGTTACCAGAATACCTTGGCTTTGCAGATGGCTTCACAGAATCCGCATAAATTTGAATTCCAGAAAGATAAGGAACATAATACTGAACAACGCTAACATTATCATTAAGTACAAGGGGCACTCCTGCACCATATGCACTCCACTCCCTGAAAGATTCCCACAAGTCACCAAGAACAAAATAAGGTTGAAACTCCCCGTCACACGTCTTGAAAACTTTCATGGTCGTCTGCAATATCAAGTTAACAGAAAAAATATATGTTAACAAATACTTTAGATGAAAAGAACATGGAGAAGTGATGTAGCGACTGACATATTACCAGAGACGTGATTCCTCCAAAAATACTTTACTAAAATTTTGCTTCCTTTTGTTCCTTCAAAACCATATAAAGACTCAATTTTTCAAAAAATTTTACATTGATCCGCCCGTTACAAACAACAGCATATTTTGAGTATGATAAGTCAATGAATGAAACGCAATTTTATCACTCATCTACATCAACAACTTTCTAGTGTCCAACCAATGAAACTAATAGAGGAAAATAAAACCCACTCAACCTAGAAGATCAAACTGAGTAACAGTAAGAATTGTAACCTTAGATGGATACTGAGCAAACACAGACGGCGTGATCGCTTGAAGGAACCGCTCTAAATTACTCAATGGCTTCCCCACGGGCGTGAAAGAGGACTTTTTGGCTTCCTCAGACTCTACACGATTCGCAGGCCAACTCTCCGTCAAGTCGCTGTGTGCTCTACGTAATCTGTCATTTTCCAAAGTGGAACGCCGTGCCTTAACTGGATTATAAAACCGATCTCCTCCCCGGGAGAGCCCAAATTGTAAGCCGGTGCCAGCATTTCAACACCCAGTGAAAAGCTTGCAAAGGAATGGAATTACGAGAAGGACCCAGAAAAAAGGAAAAAACAAAACACTTCTCTTTTCTGGTATCCGACGAACTCGAAGTATATACAAAGTCAACGATATTAGGACAATCTTCTTCGTAATTGGGGAGTTCGCATCAATGGCTACCAATCGGAAAAATAAAGCAGGGAAAAAATGGGGTTTTGATAAAGGGTTTGAAGGTTCTGTGAAGGAGCAGATGAAAACGTGATGGGAAATTGAATTAAATAAATGACCCAACGTGGATGGAGGCAGAGAATGGATCTGGTTGGGGAAGGCAAGGAAAGCAGGTGGGGTCAAAGGAAGGGCAAAAGGGTAAATAGATCAAAAGGCAAAACGGATCGACGCAAAATTGCAAATTGCACAGAAGATGAAGCAGCAATGAGAGAATGCAGATACAGAAGAATGTGATGGGCGAAGCAGGCTCTGACTAAATGAATGGGCAACGAATAAGAAATTAGAAAACGATTCTTCTAAAAAAGAAAGAAAGAAAAAAAGTTTAAAATTCTGATCGCTTGGTAATTAGCAGTTCATTAATCTTTGATCTTGTCGAAAGTTCATTCTTGGGCAGGTCAATTTGGAATTCGGATAAATTTTTCCAAAACAACGGTAGCTGCACAATTTTATTGACAATATCTAATATCTAACGGTCATTTAAGGTTGTATTTTAAAAAAAACTTAATTAATATTACTAATTCTTAGATGATAACGATATCTATCTAATGTTATTGAACTGCCGCTCTCAATCTCATATAAAACAATTGACTTACAATCATTTAATAAAGTTGATCAAAGACAAAACGTTTAAATTCATAATTTTATTCCAAATAAAAAATATTTTTCAAAAATACTCTAACACTGACTTTTAATTTTATTAAAATGATTATCAATAAAATGGTATCAAAATGTGTAATGCGCCCTTTTTTAAAAAATAAAGGCAAACCAGATTAAGACAGTGTAATTACAAACTCATCACGAGAATCCAATCATAAAAAATTTCTATACCTAGATAGAGAAATATTAAAAATTTTAATTTAATATCAAAATTGTTATGAGTTAGTTTGATGAACAATCAAACTCATTCATGAAAGCATATGTGAGTGTCTACATGTAAATTGTCTGCATTTCATTTCATTATTTTTTATCAAACACTGAAAAATGTAATAACACTATTAAAAAAATAATATTTAATAACATGTATTTTGTAGTTGAATCTCGAAATTATATTTGGATTTTATCATTAACAATATTATCTTTATCATTATTGTTAAATCTATCATTGAGTTTGCCATTGTCATAAATACGTAAAGTATCCATTTATTATATTTTTATTCAAAAAGTAAATGTTTTGATAGAATTAAAAATGTAAATATTTCAAGCATTAAATTTGCCATTATTACTTCATATGATCTATATCCAAACTAATTTAAACTCTTGATGTATGTGATCATTATTATCGACAACATCTTACAAATATTTTGAAGGTGCTTTTAATATATTTATTTGATTAATACCATTACTGATGATAGAAATCGAATATGAAATTTTAGAATAAACTAGTTCAAGTTCATAGTTCATAATTCATTCATATTAGCTGAGAGCCTACCAAGGATGCTGATTGTCTTCCACCATGTTGATATTGTTTTTCTGAGTACCATTGCTGGTGATGATGCTCAGAGTTAGTTTGTTTAGTTTTCTTTTGCAGCCCCCTTTTCTTTTTTTCTTTTCTTTTTTCTGATTGTATGAAAATAGTTGGTCAACGATTGCAAGTTCCATTAGTTTTAGTTGATTTAGTTCAGCCTTTGATAAGATTTTCCTAGATCTGTTTTGAAAGATCAACATCTGTTAGTCAAATTGACTGATTTTTGTTCAATTTTTTTATGAAAAAAATATATTTAAAACTGACAATTAATTTAAGATTTCACTCAATATAATTGATTACTCAAGTTTATTGACATCTAAAGCTCAGTAATCAATGAATCGAAGAGTAATTAATTATATTAAGTAAAATTTGTATGTAATTTTCCTTGGTTAAAATTAATATTTGATACACCCTTAGGTGAATTATTTTGTGTTGGACAGGCAGGCATTCATTGGGCATCCAAAAACAAATTAATAAAGTTGCTTTTAACAATATTTAACTTGTATCTATTTTAAATTGGTTCAGTGTATCTCAATTATATTGAGATGAGTACTTAAAAACAATCATGACGAGATTTTGAGGGCTCAAATGAAAAAAAAGTTCGGGATGAGACACGAGATTATCCTCGAGACATCCTGTTCTATCTCAACTACGTACATACATATATATTACTTTTTATTTTAAAAATATTAATTATATTAATATAATTTATACTTATATTAATTATATCATCAATTATAATTTAATACAAGCAATTTTTATTTAAAAATAAAACCTTTTTATATTAATAATTTTAATGACAAGAGTAAACAGTACATGGTAATATATTTCTTTATAATATATTAATTATATTAATATAATTTATTCTTATATTCATCTATTTAATAACTTTTGTTTATATTCTATTTCTTCCTTTATTTTTGAAAAAGTAATTAGGTTAGCATATCTCAACTAAAGAAAAAAAAATGACTTAATGTTATGCTTGACTTATCTGTTATTATTGTCTTATAGCCTAAAGCTCACTTGTAAGTGCTATAATAATGTGTTATATATTTGTAGTTGTGATTGATGTAACTTAATAATTGATTTAAATTATTATAATTTATGTCCTCATGTTGTTTTGATTTTAAACTTGATAAATTATATGATTTAAAATTTTAATAAATGTTATTATTTAAATATTTTTCTCATATTATTTGATTTATCGAGATGACCGAATGTCCTGATCTCATGCTAGACTCTTCACAATTTTTAATGACATGAGATAACTTTCAAAATAGGACACTAAATAAAAATTCAATCCTAACCTTTTTTTGAGAGTTGTCCTCATATCACATATAAACAGATATTGGTGATATACATTGAACTCCACGTAAGTTGGTGATATATTAAATACAAATCCAACCTAAATTGCTTAAATTAAATTAAATTTTAATAATTTATATATTTTATTAATTTTAGTTTATTTTTATTTAAGAAAAAAACTATATGATTCAAATATATTTTGAAATATTCAGTACACCTACACAAATGCACCTCTAATATTTAAAAAAAATTAGACCAAATTGACCGAATCAATTCGGATTGAGAACTAACCTAACGTCCAGTTCAATATTATGGTTAAAACTTAAAATCGGGAACTGATTTGAATTGATTAGATTTTTTTTATATTTATAAAATTTAAATCATTTTTCTAAGATATATCTTATACATGTATATACATTACAAGTTTTGAAAAAAATAACTAGGAAAACATTGTGTAAGAAATATGTATACATATTGAAAACTATAAATTTTAAAATTATTATATACTATATGTAAATAATATATTTTACAATTATTTTTTATTTTTAAATTTATAAAACTAGATGGGTTTTGTGTGCCATTCAAAATCTAAAAAATCTGTTATATTATTTGCATACTTTAAAGAACATAACTTGCTATAAATTTTATATGGGATTAATACTGAAATCAATATTTAGTTGATTTTTTAAAGGAAGAACTCAAACCATATGTTTATTATATATTTCTAATCTCCAAATTTCTCCATGATAAAGTCTCCTAGAGTTGTTCTTCTAATTCTCAAAATTATACACTACATGAGGATTTGTTAAGTATAAATACATGATGTAATGTAAATTAATTTTTTTATAATTATAAATAATATATTCAGAGAATGAGATAGTAATTAAAAATAAAAATAATAAAACCTAGTAAGTATTTATTTTTACTATATTATATTAAAATCCTTTTATAGTTATAAAAAGATTTAAATTATTGTCTTTTGCACAGATTCTAAAATTAGATGTGGTCTTGGAAGACAAATCAAAATTAAATGACCCTTCATTGTTTATGAAAGACAATTGGAATTTATTTAGCATAAGGAGAAATGGAGAATCTCTGAAAAATAAAAATCTTATAGAATCGCTGATTAATGGTGAATTCACCCAATCCTCTGGACCATTATTTGGCATCTTCAATATCAATAATCAATAATTTTCATTACATTGTTTGCATCCAACCTTTTGCCCAATTTGATGCTCTTTTAATTTAATAATTTACAAAAATTGTCAATTCGTAAATATACTAAATTACTAATGAGTGCCCATAGAAAAGCAGGGAACCTTCATGCTTGGCACAATCATGATAGCACGTTACAATCAACTACATTTAATCCCCGTGCAGCGCACAAGAATATTTTAATATATAAAATATAAAAGTTAAAATAATTATAAAATTTTAAAATTATTTTAGAGTATTTATAATTTAAAGTAAAATACATTGTTCTTCCTCCATTTTATTTTAATTGTAAATATTTATTTATTTTTAAAATTTACATAAATCTCTAAAAATCAATAGATATAAAATACAAATGTTTCTTTTGTTTTTAAATTTTCATATTTATTCACTCAACTATTAGTTAAAAATTAAGTTACATATGTTGAATCAAAACAACTTTGTTTAGATATACTCCCTCCCTTAAAAACATGTAAGATATTTTTAATATTTTAAAAATATTTTTATTAAATAAATTACTTTAAATTTATTTTAGGATGAAACACCTTATTAAAAAATATTAAATTTGAAAAAATAATGTTGGTTTGAAAAAAGTATTTATTTATTAGGGGTGGTATTTAGTTAAAAATATCTTATATTTTAAACAGAAGGAGTAATTTTATCTAAAAATTATTCATGTTACACCCAAAATATTTAAATTTAAATTTTTAAATTTATTCATTTTTAAATATAAATGTTATCTACAAAGTATTCATATTACACCCAAAACATTAATTAAATTATATATTCTTTTAAATTA